TGAAGACTTTTAAATAATGTTTACTCCTAAAATAAGTCTGGAAATTATGGGAAAAAAACAAAGTTAAACATACAGACTTCCTGGAATCTAATAACATAAATTTTCCAGAAGATGGCTATGGAACACTTTAACATAGAGGCACCTTCGTTAATATCCATCAGAACAATATCCTCCAAAAACCAGTTTTCACTAAGAAAATGGTGATAAATTAATTTTACTAGGCAAGTTTATGAAAAGGTTAACTGCTTTTAATGGAGCATAATATTTATTTATATTAAATATACTTTTCTGACATCTCAGAAATAAAAATTGTATTAAGAATATTTTATTATGTTTTCAAATGACATACAATACTAAAATATGAAAGGATTATTTTAAGTAAGTTGTATACAGTGCAGCCACATGATAAAATTCAAAACAAACCAATAATACACCTAAAGAAGTATGTTATAATCCAGAAGTGAAATGAGCAGTCATAGCTGACAGTATTCACAGAAAGAACATTCATATCTTCATGTATTCCTCTCATTATCCAAGAGTCTTTCAGTATTGTTTTAAACAATTTTGAACAATTATTTTTCAGTGATTAAAAAGAAGTTTGATAAAAAAATAATGTAACCATATTTTCTATTTTTAACTTTGTGATTTTTTTTTCTTAACTTTCTTTTGGACATGAAGATAATACCATTTCTATACTCAACATGATGTCACTGAATGGGCCCACTGCCACATTCTGACACCTGCATAAGAGAATAATAAAGAATCATTCAGCCAACTAAAAGGGACAATTCCCTCCATTCCAGTTATAGGCGATATGCAGTTTTAATCAAAACAGCTAAGTATGCAAATTCATTTTGATATCTTCTTATCGTTAACTGAGTTTTATCTAGAGGAAAAAAAAATGTTTAACTTTGTAAGCTTCCTCTAATCGGATAGTTCCTCAGTTGCAGATTCAGGAGAAAATACTATTTTAACTTAAAAATAACACACTTGCCTCTTCCCTTAAAGGAATATTTTTTCTCTGCATTTTATAGGCTTTTCCAAGGATTTTCTTTTTCTGTGAAGTTTTTTCAACTCTCATATCTTTGAATTCACAAGTTAAAACTATTTTATAATTTAAATGGGTACGTCCTGAAAGTAAATACTTAGTTAACTTCCTAGTACTTTTCAGTGAGATAAGGAGAGAAAGAAAAGCTAGGGCTGAGCGAGAGAAAAATTGTAAGAATACTAACCACAGGTAGCTAACTTGTACAGATATCACATAATAAGTTCAACATTCATTTTAACATTTCTTGTAATTTGAAGATTTATGCATGTTGAATTAATAATTAACTCAACATGATTAATTTAACATGCACGAATCTTCAAATGACAAGAAGAAATGTTTCAGGTATAGCAGCAGACATTGCAAAGAATACTGATGCAAAATCTGCCTGCAGAACAAGGTCAGTTCAAAGTCTCATTGTAATCAATGTTGCTATTTGTAGCTTAGCTCCATTGCAACTTGATGGTGAGATAGCAGTTTCTCATCATTTACGCATTACACATCAAAAATTTACACATTTTCTGCATAGTTTGCTTTTTAAAAAGTCATATTGCATTTTAAATGCTAAAACCAAAGACAGAAACCAAGGTCATGCTGTTCTTTTTAATTAATTTCAGTTACTGCTAACCATTGTAAAGACCAATATTAATGTCCAGTACCTTATTTATTATGCTCCATCATAAACATTTTATTTTAAACCTGATTAGACATTGTGTTTAAAAAGTAACAAGTGCAAGACAGGTAATAGAGGTGAAATTCTAATTCTAATTCACAAGGGAATTTATTAGCATTCAGTCTAGAAATTAAAACTCAGTTTAAAAAATGGTGGACTTGTATGATTAAGAGAGTTGACAACTTCAGTTTCATCCTTAATAAAGTTAGAGATTTTTAGAGTTGAAAAGAAACTATGAGCACCCAATCTCCTTGTTAGTAATTCAATCACTCTGTAATGTTTCCCCAAGTGGTCACAGAGACTTCTGTGAAAAATACCCGAAGGCTTCCTCCTGATATGGTTAGGGTTTGTTTCCCCACCCAAATGTCATCTTGAATTGTAATCTCCAGGTGTTTAGGGAGAGATCTGGTGGGAAGTGATTGTATTATGGGGGTGAATCCCCCCATGCTATTATAATAGTGAGTGAAGTATTGTGATTTTATAAATGGTAGTTTTTCCTGCACTGACACAAACTTGTTCTTTCTCGCCTTCTGCCATAATTGCAAGTCTCTAGAGGCCTTCCCAGCCACGTGGAACCGTGAGTCAATTAAACCTCTTTTCTTTATAAATTTCCCAGTGTTGGGTATTTCTTTATAGCAGTGTGCGAACCGATAAATACACCTCCATAGGGAAAATACCTCTATTTATTTCATTGGGGGACAGTTACCTTTGTTTAAAAATTTCTTTCTTTTTTTGAACCTAAACTTTGCCCTACTTTTTCAGCACCTAATGATTCCAAGTTTGACTTCAGGAAAAACTGAAGAGGAATCTAATCCATCTTTCATATAGCAACTGTTAGTATGTCTGAAGACAGCTGTAGGGTACATTGAAGTCTTCCAATAGCCAGATTAAACTGTCCCTTTCTTTAAGACTGTTTATCTTATAACATGCCTTATTATCTCAACCATTCTCCTGCATATGCTCTCCTGTTTGCAAAGCACTTTCCAAATGGATGCTCTAGAACATATGCAGCAATCAAAGTACGGTTTGACCCAGGTGATGTTTTATTTGGTGCTTCTCCGGTGCTACAGATGTAGCACTGTCTTCCTTGGAAGATACATTAAATAGAGGAACACTGAGCTTCCAATTATGTTAAACCTGTACTATTAAGCCATCCATCTTTTTTTCCTAATACTCATGAATTTGAATAATTGGTTTGAAATGCAAAAATGTTGAATCTGTTAAATTTCATTTTCATTGATTTAGCAAACTGTACCAGACACTGATTCTTTTTGTCCGTCTCTGACAACTAATAAAAAGGTTAGAAAACTATGGCTTGTTGGCCAAATCCAGTTCACTGCTTGTTCTGTAAATAAAGTTTCATTGTAACACTATCATGCTCATTTGTTTATAAACGGCCTATGGTTGCATCTCTGCCGTAACAGCAAAGTACTTATGACAAAGAATGTACGACCCAGAAAACTTAAGATACGTACTCTCTTGTCATTTATAGAAAAAATTGTTTACAAGTGAACTGATATATCAGCTGTCTCTCTCTGTTTCCTGCAGATTTAGTGATAGTTCATCTATCCTCTCATGAAGACTGTGGATTACAAGGTTTGTCCACAAACTGAACATGCATAAATAATAATGAATTCATCAATTTGCATTAATTTATTTCAGCTGATGTAATGGCAAATAATTAAACTATCATCTAGCCTGCATTTCCTGCTGTCATGAAGATATACTTTGCTGAAACTCCGTTACGCTTTCTGCTACCCCTAGGCACAACAGTTGGGTAATCTGAAACTAGAAATGGCTTAACTGAAATGACTTCTTACTGAGACTATGTTTGCTCTTAGAGCTCATCAGTTTCCTAAGTGCTTGGCTTAGGAATATTTTTCAGAAATATGTATTTTTCAGAAATAGTACTTGTGGAACTTAAATAAAGAGTTCCAAAGACAAATAAGTTGATGAAATGCTACACTCTGTGTTCGATGTACTTTGTAGTTTTAATACACATTAGCGTACTCAAAGGTCTGAGAAATAATATAGTAAATATACTGGTTTAAATGATTTCAATACATTCTTTCCTCCATATTACTTTACCACAGAAACTTCCTTTCTTCTTATGATTCGAAAACTTTGGTGGAAGAAACTTTAGAAAAATTTGTAAATTCCGATGAGAAAGAAGATTAACACAGCCTCAGATGCTGCGAAACTATTTCTTGTGGACTTTTAGACATTTGTGGAAAATAAGCAGGAATAGTTTGAATTATGAGAATATCTCTGAATTTATAGCTTCATTTTAGGAATGAATGTTGGTTCTTCTCCGTTTTACCTGAATTTTCTAGGCTGGATTTATATTTTTAGTATTGATACAAGAGTGAGTAATATCCTCTGATTTTTTAAGAGCAGTTAATTATAATGGAAGTAACAGGCATAAACCAAACGAATAAAACATAGTAACAATATGGAACTTTCCCTGAGGGCCAGAGCTATTTCTGACTTATTTGTATTCGTGCCATTCGTTTTGCCAGGAGTGTTCTCATTACATCATTGGATGAATTAACAAATAAGTAAAGGCATGCATTTTTAACTATCATGGTCCTACTCATTTTCCATTCAATAGATGTGTTTCTACTTTGCTGGTAGGGTAGAAAAATTTCACTATTTTTAATTGGTCTTTCTATCAAAGGACATAAATAAAAATTAGGAATCAGCAAATTAAAAAAATTAAGACTGAGTCTTACCCATTCTGTAAGAAAATAAAAAGTATCACTTGATACAAACAAAGCAGTCATATTCTGTGTGTCTATACAGCCTTTGGGGGCAGGTTTGCAGATCAGCAACCAACAGGCTGTATGATATTTTTAGGCTGAAATTTAAAATATACATAGATGTGGAGTGTAAAATTAGACACAAATATGCAAATGTCTTAGGTAAGAATCTACAGATTTCCATAAAATCTGCTTTGGTGAATATAATTTTAGTACTTTATTTTTAGTTAAACATTTGAGTACACTATTTTAAAAAGCATTTTAAAACATAGTGTTTTAAGATATTTATCAATTGTCATTATACCTTTTAGAAAACCTTTCTAATAGGGAAATTCATCAAAACTTTCTCCTAAGACATATGATTTTTAAGATCTTTATAAAATGAAGTAACATTTCAAACCACTTATGGACATTTTAAGTGCCATATTCAAATTTTAATGGGAATTTATTTGTTTATTTACTTGAATCTGAATTGTTTAGCGAATATTTGTGGTTGAAGAATTTTTTTTTGTTTTTATTTTAGAAACTATGCTAGAAACTGCTATGAGAAGACTGTCCCTTTTGACCTGCGTGACGTCTAACATTCCATCCCTCCTTAAGGTGAATTTGACTAACTGTTAGATTAAATCAAAATGCTTGCTATAACATAGCTCTTTTATGACAACCCTTTCCTTAAAATGGAACCCTCTGTGGGCTTCTAGATATCACCATTTATCTAAGAATTATTTGGTAACTCTTATTTTACTTTTTATCCCTAGATATCATATTTCCCCCTCAGTATTGGGCTTTGCCATTTTACTAGGGAGAGGTTTTTTATTTCCATCTTAAATTTTATTTTAAACTCCTTTTGTCAAATAAACAAATTTTCAACAAATTGGTTAAAACATGTAGTATTTTTAGCAATTTATATGTTGGTTTCTGCTCTAGATTATAATCTCTGCCAGCTCAGGCCCCATACTTTGTCTTAACTTATATCAGCATTTTTTCATGGTATCTTGCAAATGGTAGTTTTTCAAAAATATTTTTGATGATTAAGAAATGACACCTATACATAAAACCTCTTGAGATGGAATCTAGCATAGGATAGGCACTCGATAAATATTGACAGAAGAAAAGATGCAACCTCGGGCTTTCGTCTTATCACTGATTGCTTCCTTGGGAGTTCTCAGTCCTCATTGATCATGGGTGTGTTTGCACATGCTTGAAACTGTGCTTGGGAGCATGAGCTCTGGAAAGTCTGCATGAGTTTACGACTCATCTCTTACTATTTTCTGTGTGAGATTTGGCAAGTCATCAAACCTATCTGACCTGAATATTCTAATCTATAAAATAACTCTCATAGGATTTCTGTTAGGATTAAATGTTTACAAAGCTCACTGCATGCAATAATAATTTAAAAAATTATTATTATAGTTTATCATCGAAACTCATATTTAAATCACATTTATATTCCATGAAAATATAATTTTGCTAAGAATACTGTAATAACATAACTGCCCCTGGTGCACATGTAAGACAGTTTCTTCAGGGCTAGAGACTTAAGTGCATATCCAGGTAGAATATATGGAGCATGTAATATCCATTGTTAATTTTACCAGAGTATTGTCTTATTCCTTTTTTTATTTTCATTTATTTTGAGATGGAGTTTTGCTCTTGTTGCCCAGGCTGGAGTGCAATGGCGTGATCTCAGCTTACTGCAACCTCTGCCTCCCAGGTTCAAGTGATTCTCCTGCCTCAGCCTCCCCAGTAGCTGGGATTACAGGTAAGCACAACCACTCCCGGCTATTTTTTGTGTTTTTAGTAGAGACTGAGTTTCTCCATGTTGGTCAGGCTGGTAGATTGTCTTATTCTTTATTACCTAGATCACTGTGGTCCAGGTTACTTTGTTAGATTTCAATGTGCCTGAAGCCAGGCCTAAGTTCTCAAACACTTGTGTGTCTTCTATAGCACAATAGCTGACACAGAACCAGCTCCATTCAGTCAGTTTTTGTTGTATTTTCTTTCCTGTTAATTGATAGAATCAGAGGGTACATGTGTTGCATGGGAAAAATTATATCTGTAGTTTTCCTAACCTCTAAATGAAACTGATCATTTATTACATCATAAATATAAGCCAAAAATACTTCAAGGCTATATTAGTATTACCTGTGATTTTTTTCACCAATAGAAGTCACAGATATTTTGATATCACATTATTTCTGTTGCAGATGCCTAAAATATTTCTTATACAAACTACTAATTCAAATTATGTAATTATTAGAGATGCCCCTATATTTTATTTATTATTTGATGTCTTAATAAAAGAGTACACATAATTAGAACATCACTATTTAAAAATATATTTTGACAACTGCATTTCAGTATACTTGAATTCTTCTGTAATCGCCTGCATTTTTATGCATTATCCTGGTAGGATTCACAGAGGTTTATGAAACAAGAAAGGTTAAGAACTTCATTAAATGTTAGTTCTTAATCCTTCCCTTTGCTTTTTTTCTTTCCCTGGCAGGCCTTATGTGAACCTCATAATGTACTTAGGAATGTCAAGTCTGCAGGGACAATTTTCTAATTGAAAATGAAGCAATGCCACTTTGTTGTTAGCCTGATGCTTAATGATCTGTCTTTGCTTACGCCGGGTTCTCCTTAGGGATCACACTTCTGCGAATAGCACAGTCACATAATTCAAAGAGCCACATTATGGCTCTCAAATATAAGCAGAAATAGAAGGAAAACATGAAGTACTTAGAAAGATGCATTGTTCAGTTTCCTTAGTAACTGCTCCTTTAAAAAAACTGTCTCTCATTTTAATCTGCTTCCCCACTTTGTCTGTCTTTGACTCCTCTTTAGTCTGATTATTTCGGGTGGATATTAGCACATTCCTGAATTATTCAATAAATGAAGCTATATGTGTGCTTCTAGTTGCAGTGGTTCTTTTTAAAGTATATATTTCTCTATCGTTTGCCACAGGAGATGTCTGGCCTTTTCATACCCAGTCATTATACTTTCTATGGTTGATGCTAAGACAAACAAGGTACTGTGTCAGATAATTTTACCAGGAAATGACATCTAGGAAACTGGCTTATCCTTTTAGTACTATCCTATTTAGAACTTTGATGAAGATTAAATTATGGGTACTCAGTAAGACTTAGTCTGCAACTAGGACCATGTGCTTAGTGAACTTAGAACCTTACACAAAGTCAGTCTTACTACACCTCTTATCTTGGCTCCATGTGACCTCTCACTCACCTTCTTTGATGTAACTCTTTCTCCAGTCTCTCTTTCATTGTGCCTTCCATTGATGACATCTCCCAATTTCTATTTGTCTGGTTCTTAGAGAAATAGAACCAGTAGTAGAAGCTCCATGATCTGTAATCCGTATGTTAAGAGACTTAGGAGAGCTGATCGTGGAGTTCCAGTCTGAATCTGAATCCAAAAGCAAGACTGATGTCCCAGGTCAAAGACAATGAAGCAGGTAAAGGGAGTGAATTATTCCTTACTGACCCTGTTGTTTTTTTCTATTAAGGTCTTCAACAAATTGGATAAGGACTACCCACATTAGAAGGGCAATCTTCTTTCCTTAGTCTACCAATTCAAATGTGAATCTCATCCAGAAACAACCACACAGGAACATCCAAAACAAATTTTAACCAAATATCTAGGCACTCTGTGGCCCTAAAAAGTTGACACATAAAATTAACCACAACACCGTTGGTGATTGTTGTAAGCCAGGTTTACTGTTAGTACATATTCCTACGTTCTTATGTCTCTAGTTTCTTCAGAGAATACCCAACGTCCCCTCTGCTCACTCATTATTTTTCTATTTTTAAACCTGAATCTCTTTGAATTTAAAGACCTTTCCCTTGAAGCCCACTTACGTCAAAGCTGTTGAATCTTTCATACAACAGAGGGGAAATACAGGTATTGATCCAAGTCTCAATGAAAATGGCAGATAATTACTTTCCTACCCTTCCTTCTTTGAAATTTTTGTCACGATGTATAACACAACCATCCCATCACTTACCAACTTGCCTCTCCCCTATTCATTTAGAATTTTGACTACCAGCATTTTGTCATAATGCCTCACATGTAGATGGCTTATGCTGGTTCCAAACTTACTGTGCTCTTTTCAGCCTGAAATTTTGATCATAATCAATCTTAACTTGGAACCAACTCTCTTGAAGTAAATTTTATTAGTTTAACTGAACCATTTATGATGTGCTAAACTCTAGCAAATTAATATTTCATTATTCTTCTGTCAGTTCACATCTCCCTCCTTTATTCCTTTCATATCTGATCTTTGTCTTCTATTACGGTGCACCCTTGTTTTTCTATACTAATATTAGAAGGCATTCCTTCATGACTCCCTGATTCAGCTGATAATTGATCATTAGTCAATATCTTTCTTGCCAACATCTTTAATGCCTTCACCCTCTAGCTTTCTAGAATACTATCTCTAAAAACTCATAAACTTGAATCATTCTAATTACTTGCAAACTTTGCCATTATATATACGGCTATACATATATACACATAGGGTGTGTGTGTGTATATATATATATAAAATGGTTATATATTTATATATGTCTCTCTCTATATATATATACAACTTTAATGAACTGAATAATAAAATTCAACCTTTTAGTAAGGATAAAAAGAATCCATGACATGGCCCTTGATTAGCTTTTTCCCTAGGCATGTTTTCTAGTAAATCCTTCTTTATATTCCTGTCAAAAGCTGTGTAAAATCTGAGATTTTACCCTATTTGCAAGCTAAGTTAGCCTGCCACAGTTTCATGGCTATTGGCGGAAAATATAAGAGCCCCAGGTTAAAGTGTACAGTAAAGGATTTCACCTTGGGCAAACAGAGGTCTGGCTTGTCCCTCAGCTCCTGGTAGGTAATCTCTAAGTACCTGGAATGTGCTGCCAGATTAAAGTATCTTCATCTACCTGGGGCATTGGAACATGCCAGACAGTGTAACCACCTACCTTATAGTGGGGATTTGGGGTCATGTTGTATTATCTAGATTTCCAGAGGGCCTGGAGACTGAGGTCAACCACATGGGCAGTAAACCCATGTGCAACCTCAGTAAACAACATGGTGCAACCTCAATAAAGACTTTGGCCCCAAGCTCAGGTCAGCAATATGTGCGTATCATTACCCATCATTACTGGAGGAGTGAATGCTGTCTGTGACTACACTGGTAAGAAATATCTGGAAGCCCCATGTTTGGAGTGCTCTTGGACTCTGCCCATGCCTGTCTTCTCTTGGCTGATTCTAATCTCTATTTTTATTTTTGCTGTAATAGACCACAATATATATAGCCGCTTTCAGTGAGTTCTGTGAGTCCTTTCAGAAAATGTTCAAAACTGAGGGTCATGTGAGTGACCACGAAACTTTACATTGGTGTCAGATGTGAGGATGGTCATGTGGACTCGTCCATGACTTTATGTAAGAGATAAAGTACTTTGTTAGAAATCAAGGCCCAGTGGGTAGTGTGAGTTTCAAGTATGCATCAGTTCCTTTTGTCCCCCAAGTCCCATGTGTACATTATGGAGGGGTCCCAGGTGGGCCTGTAGTATAGCTGAGGAACTCTGAAGCCAGGAAACATGAATCTTTTATACTGGATAATATACATGCCTTCCCAGAAGACACTATCTTTATTTTCCAATGCTGTACACAAACTAGCCATTTGCTTTGGAAAGAATCACAATCTCTATCTTCTAATGTTATTGCTATAAAAGGATCATTGAAAAAGTAGTTTTGAAAACATATGCAATTAATGCTCCTTTGCATGATTTACAGAAACATGAGAAGCCTATAGAGAATTGTCTTCAATCACCAAACTGCCTACACTTGTTTCAAAGTACCTTCCAGATCATGTACCTGTGTTGTGTTCACATTCCTTTTTCCTCCCCAAGATACACTGATCATTGTAGAGAACATTATTCACATTTTAAGACTCTTTTCAAGGGTAACATATCCAAAGACTCCTTCTTAAGATCCCCTTTACACCCTCCCCTTCTATCACTAATCATCCTGCTCCTCTTTGTTCTCTGAAGTACCCTCTTCAAACTTCTAGCACTAGAATAACATCACTGTATTTCTCTTGCTTGTTTAAATAATTTTTATCTTTACTGAAACATACAGGAACTACTTTGGATTCGTCTTTATATACTCTCAGTATCATTGTGCTTGCCACATAGGAACAACTGGGAAATCATTTAAAATAAAAAATGATTTCACATTCTGAGGATAAGAAATCCATTTGATTCAGAAGGTTTAAAGCTTCAGACCATGCACAAGTGAAGTTGGCTTTGATTTTTCCAACTACATTCATTCTATTGATCAGAATAATAGAATCAGTAACTCAAGGGTCTACTTTGTATTTATTTGAGTCCTCTTTATGAGATCCAAATAACACAATTTTAAAATATGTTCTCATGATCGCTTACTTTCTGAAATCTGGTCATTTCTCACCATCTCAACTTCTACTGTCTAAGTTTAAGCCATTATTACCTTTCACCTGCTTTACTTAACAGTTTCCAGCTTATCATTTTACTTCTAACTTTCCCTCTAGAGTCTCATTACAGCAACCAAAGTGATTATTTAAAAATGTAAATCAACTAATATTTCTCTCCTATTCAAAACCCTCCAATAATTTCCTCTTTCCCCTATAGTAAAAGCCACATTCTGTACAATGACATCTTAGGGCTTTTGCACTGGCTGTTTTCTCCACCTGAAATGCTCTTCTGCAAGTTAATTCAC